TAGAACCGGTAATAAATATTGATTGCACGTTGCCTGCCTGGTTGGATCCTATCCTATATAGATATATATCTACATAGACATATACATATAAACATGTATAGATCGCCCGGTGGGTAGGATGGTTTGGCCACGAACACATCCTGGAAGGGCCAGGGGTAAGCTTGTAAGTAAAGAGTGAACCAGACAAAGAGAGCGAATGCGTTTGCGAGAAGAAGCGAGATTAGGGTCGAGAAATTTTGGTCCCGGGTGACCGACGAGGCTCAGGCTCATCGGCTACCCCCTTAAGTAAGACAAACGATCCACTCCCGATGCCCCGGTTCCGCTTGCGCCAGTTTCCGCCTTCTATTCGCGATGACCTCTCGACTACCCTCCGAATACATCATCATGTCCTTTCTCCTTCTTTCGCTTTTTTACGCCCTGTTTTTACCTTCCTACAATATTTCGTATGAATAAATAAATTTGCAATCCTCTAATGGAGTTTGATTGATGAATTTCTAACCTACTCGAGGTTATCTGTTAGACTCTATTATAAAGTCGCAGTATAATTAATATTTATTGTTTCTCTTTGGCTGAGGGAATATTGAGTGTTATCATGTAGGGAGTATAGAGTAAGAAGATTATGGTAATTAATGGGGAGTACCGTTTGTGTTGTTGTTGATCTATTCTAGGCTTCCGAGTGTTTGAATAAACAGGTAAGTAATGTATAAGGAGCTAATGAGTTAAAAAGCTTGGAAGGTTTATCAATAATTGTACACGGAAGAAACATGTAAATATAAATTGCAGAAATAGTTGTGTAAAAATTATACGGCAATTTTATATTATATTTACAAAAAAAGACTGTTAAATTTACTGAAAATAATCAATATATAAAATTATATAAGAATTTTAGCTATACATAATTTTATACAATGCATTTTTCCAATATAAAATTTTCAAATTTTCTCGAATGCTAAATTTACATTTTTTTTTTGTTTTTTATTTCACATTTTTTCCACATGCTGAATTTACATTTTCTGGTTGCCAGTAATTGTAATGTAAATATTACAATTCTAAAAATGTAAATTTAACAAATTTTTTAGTAATTTTTACAGGATTTTTCTGTATACAATTCAGATTATCACTAATAGAAAATGAGATCAAAGATTTAAAAATAAAAAAATTTTTATGACATTTACAGTTTGTTGAATTTTTTTACTCAAACTAGGTCATATTTTTTAATTATTCAATTACTCCAAACAGTGAATAAAAAATTGTCAACAATAATAATTTGTTTATATCTTCGTAGTTAGTGGTGTCTCTTGTCATCTATTTTCTTATTATTTATTTAAAAAGGCACATCTATGATGTACATAGTACCTGTTTGGCTGATCAATGAATATGCAAGTAAATCATTAATTTCCCTTGGGTTACATCGGTGACAATGACAATCATCCATTGCACGGGGGAGCGCAAATCCGTGGAACTTGTGTCGGAAACTGTCGCTTCCACGTGTCGTCAAGTTAAAATCCAGAGACTGCTATACGTTTAGAATGTATCCAGCAAAAAGATGGCTGTATTAGTTGTATATCATATGTGTATATGTAAATACATATTGTACAAATAGTAAGCCTCCAATCGGAAATGTTCCCGGTAACTAATAAGATGTCATGCATGACATTTTCATTGCTGTTTTCCTTAAAGCAAAATCTTTCAACATATGTATATAAACATGAATCAAAATATGTTATTACGTGTTGATATTTAATGAATGAAACATCCAATCGCGTATGTAATCATTTCTACGTCACTAAACCTACTTACAATTATTAAATTATTGATTTTTTTTAAATAAAATGAATAAATGACGTGGTTACGGAGCAAATAGAATTTAAATGAAATGTAGGAACTTGTATAACCAAAATAAAAGTAATAAATTTATAAATAAAGATCTTAATTAAAAACTGTAATCGTAATGATAGAGGAGGTAATGTAAACCCGAATTATTTTAGCGGTTTTAACGTGTGTGTCACACACGTTTGGATGGTAAATGGTGGATGATAATTACCATCATTAATACCCGGGATATGCCCGTTTTACGTTACAAATAATCTATAGAGAGAGCTTATGTTATATAGGTATTTATACCCCCGTGCATAAATGGCATTTATACTCTATGCTCTTCTTCGATGCATGATGCGGAGTTTGGTGTATAATTCTGTACTATATATATATATATATATATATATATGAGACTACACGGTTAATATGTATCTACATTTACATTGACATCCACATTTACGGGATTCGTATAAATGGCAATACTGTGCAGACAATTGAAGAGAGAAAATCCAAACATGCCACCCCATGTCGAGAGTTATCCCATTATCTGTACAAATAACCCCCTTCGTTCATTTGAACTTTGATTCGAGATCTCGCCCCGGATTAATTCCTATACACTCAATACTACTGGGAAAATATTACAAATATTTTTTTATAGACTTTTGTTTGTACAGAATTCAGTATCGTCTGGTGTAGGTATGTTGCGTATTGAAAAATGATATTTCAGAGCGATACATGAAACCGAAAATAATTAATAACAAATAAAAGCATACAAACTTTCCAATTTAACGGGGAAAAAAAATCGCGGATTATTGCATTTGTTGAATATTACTTAGTGTAAATTAAAATCCCTGGTGACCTTTCGTTTAAAATAATTCTTTGTACAGAAAATTCGGTTGACTTTGAGGCAACTAATTAACAAAACGTCAGTATACTATATATTAACGCTGCTTATTTAAATTTAATTACAAATCTGTCAATTATTAATAACTTTACGTTAATTTCGCTTATATACCTTATACAAACTTGTTCCGATGTCTCTAAAGCTTTTAATGGGTTACTTTTAATATAATTAAATTTAATTAAATATTTATTAATATCATTCAAAACATCAGCTATACACAAGTTGAGAGAAGTTACTAACAGCTTATATCAAGGCTTATTATTGGTATGAAATTTTGAATACACTTCATACAAATTTATTTTTAACACAAAAAAATAACAACGTAAATAATTATTTTCAGAACAACTGTTTTGACTGAAAATATTTTTAATAATTAAGTGCGAAAATTAAAAATCGTGATTCTGAGTAAGATAATTAATTATAGATAAAAAATAATTCAAATATAAGTAATTAATATAAAAAAGTTTTTTATCAATTTAATCGCATCTATCATTGCTTGCCTAGAATTTTAAATTAAAGTTTAAATTAAATCAATTTACGATCGCGAATGTTCAAAAGAATTTTTTTTTTAATTTGTTTTCCTTTTTATTTGTATTAGTTGAATTAATTTCAAAGGAATTCATTTGATTTAATAAACTTTAATTAATAACTTTATTAGCAGCGATATAATGAAAAATTTGTTCTGAAAATAAAAATGTTATCTACGTTATCATTCGTACTGTCGACGCTAAACAAATAAAACATCAAGACACATATATCGTACACATATATTGATTAAAACTCTCACCGTCAGAAAATAATTAAATTTTTAGCATACAATTTTTTAATTACAATTTCCTCTTTCAGTATCGACTATTTACTTTTATCTCTAAAATAATTCCAAAAAATTTGAGATGAACTAAAAATATTAATAATCCTCCGCTCGCTCTATTCTATAACAACAAAACCAACATGACCTATCATACAAATTAAATTTTAATAATAATTATGATACTGAAATTTATTAACATCGAGAATTTCCTCTCTATGAATAAACAAATAATGATATTGATAGATAAAAAATATATCTATAAAAATATTTCAAATAGTTAATAATAAAAATTCACAAAAAAAAATTAATTAAAAATTCAAATTTTTCCCGCGCAAAAATAACAAATCGCGGGAACCTTCAAACAAAGCGATCTTCCAATAAACTATCAATATTGATTGACCAATCAACGACTCTTGACACAAAGAAGCGTTGCGCGTGCGTAAGAAAAGTAACGCTGCGTCTTGGCTCTTGATTTTTGTTTCGCATTTATATACGATTCATATGACACGTGCGGTCACATTCGCGATTCTTTGTTTCTTGGATAAAAATCCGTTGCATTACATATTATCACAATGTCTTCTTAGAACGAGTTAAGACTTTTTCTTCGCTATCGCCATAACAATAATAATTGTTATTATTTCAACGTTACTATTAACTATTAGTAATTCCGCAGTGCAATTAAAACCATTTCGCTTTTGTTTTTTTATCTAGTTGATCTAGAATATTCTGGTCAAACAGAAGCGATTTTGTAAATTAAAGCACGTGTACGAGCTTCATTTATTTGAGCTGCATTGAAATATTTATTTTTCTTTGGTAAGTATAATTAAATTCATTTAATGGGTGCGGTTTTTTACATTTAAAAAAAATTTATTACGTCGGATTTTTTTTTCCTCTGATTAAAATATTTTATTAGCTTTAATTAAATTCGTAATTAAAAAAAAAAAATTTTTTTTTCTTGTTAATAAAAATATGAAGGTAAAGTCAATATTCAACTTTTTTTTTTGTTGAATTTCTCTAACGTTTTTTTTTTTTTTTCTGTAGATCACTGGTGCTGTATTTATTTGTACGGGATTCTAAGTATTGAGGTGAGAAAAAAAAATATTTTTAGCATTCTATAGATAAAAACCTTTTATCAACACATATACATATATATATAAATGTATGTACAGGAATAATAATAAAATAAGTTTTCAATGTCATTTATCTGAACTGAACACAATGGCACACAAAAGTTAAGCTGCAAATATAAGACTAATAAATTCTATCGTATGATAAATATTTTAATTATAAAATATATATTATATATGTGTATGTGTAAATACGCGTATATTAGTAATTAATAAATTACTAAATATGAATTTAGTATACTCAATATTATTTAATATTAATTTATTGCTGTTGGAATTTATATTTATGTATATATTGTTTATTTACTATTATTTTTTTTTATAGTTTTACGTGTTTGATACACGGTATACGATATACGAGCTGGTATTTGTATAGTATCAGAGTCGAAAGTTTATTTGCGAAGAAAGATGGTGGTCTCATCATCAACAATATCATCAACAACCGAAAACGAGACTTTGGCGTCGCGCAAACCGGCACTTTCGCTCGAGGGTAGAGGAATTTCGCCGGGAAACTACCGGCTTGTTGGATGGGACTTGGACACGACTGGAAAAAAATTAATTGATGAGATTTGTCAGTTTGCTGGGTACACTACCAGCTCTTCATTCACTCAGTATGTAATGCCTTACAAGAACATTTCACCACCGGCACGTAAGAGACACAATTTAAAAATTGTTAATGTTGGCAAATACCGAATTTTGAAGAATCTTAACACACACAAGGTAAAAATTATTATATATTTTGTAAATAATTGATTAATTATATAATCTTTTAATAACTAGTTAATAATGAAAAAGTAATTTTTATGATAATGAAATATTAGTATTTAATATAATTAAATTCATAGAGAAAATATAATATTTGATATCTAATATTTGCTTTGAGAAATAATTCTTCAAGTAACTTTGGAAAACTAAGATAATTTAATAGGAAAATTAAATTAGTAAATTTACTGAGCCGATTAATATTATCTGATGAAGTTTACACTTTTAATTAAAGCTCATTTGTTTGTAGTAATGAAGAATTACTTTTATTTATTTTTACTACAACAAAATTTTAATTTTACTGTGAATAAATATAAGAAGCCGTAATATTAAATGAATATTTGCTGAGTTAGTCATCAAAAGAATTTAAAATAATAGATAAAGTACTAGAGAAATTTTAAGCAGCTAGTAGCAAATTCACTGAATAATTTATAAATAATTAAATATTCACGTGCTCGGCTTGAATATTATTAATTTAAATAAATTATTTCGTGGCAAAATTTTATTTTTTAACTTATTTAATCTATCAAATTACTTGATTAGAACGTATTTTTTTATATTTTGTATATAACATATAAAGTATAGATAAACAAATAAAAAACAATCGTAAATATGTCACATATTCTAAAGTCATTAAAATCTTTAAATCAACAAAGCTATTTTTACCTATTTAATTAAACAAAGTCAGATGAAATCATATTTTTTGTATGTACAAAAATATTAATCATTAAAAATAAATAATAAAACAGAAGCAAATAAATTTAAATAATAATTTGATCTTAATTTTCCAGGCGCTGAAAACAAAAAGTGAAATTTCAGCATTGACAGATTTTTTAGAATGGTTAGAAAAAATCCAAGGAGACGCTAAAGATGGTGTTATTCTAGTCCACCACGAGCCACGTAAATTTATTCCCTCACTTGTTTTGTCTTCATTGATAAAATTCAAGCTGCTTGAACGATTCAAGAAGACTGTCAAAGGATTTCTCAACGGGTATGACGTTGCCAGTTGTAAATGTGCCAGTACATTGCAGTCTTTTTCGCTGAGAACTTTGTCTCAAAAGCTGCTGGATCAGGTATTTAATATTTAATAATTCATTTTGTAAAAATACTGAAATCATTTTGTTTTCTTATTCCGTTTTTCTAAAGTCTTTGACTTATCTTTTACAAATAATATTTCTTGAATAAAAATTCTCATTTATTTATTTATTTGCCAACAGGAAGACAACCAACTGGATAATGCAGCAAATCGTGCACGACTTTCATTACAAATAATTCAGCATTTAAGTAATGGAGAAGAAAACACACCGACTAGCGATGGCAAAGGGGACAGTGATGCTGCTTCAAAAGCAACCGTTGAATTTATACGTGAATTCGTGACATCAGTTGAGACTGAGGAAAACGAGTATGAAGTACTAAAACAAGTACTGGAACGTCAATTCACTTTGAAGCCGATTTTCAAACCTCTAATGACAGCAAGTCGTCGTGAACGACAACACGTGACTCCACTTCGTCGATTACTTGCTGAAGCCGAGATTGATTATGAACAATTAAAGGTTTGTCTAATATTTAAATATTTACTAACTTCAAGTTTTTACAACATGAATAATAATAACAATCATTCTTTTAATATATATTTTTAAATTTATATTAAAATTTGAATTAAATACTTGTGATAAAACTTTTTACCATAAAAGCCTTTACTTTAAAAGCTTACAATGAATTAATAAAAAAAAAACACATTGAAATTTTTTTTTCTCTTTAAATGTTAACTTCAGTCGAAAGTAATCATACTTTTCTTGATAATAAATTAATTAAAATTATTGAAATAAATTATTATGACATTAAAGTTAGCGGTCACTTAACAATTTTTTAATTTATTTTATCAAAAAAATTTGTTTCGAAAAATTATTTTTAAAAAATTGCATTTTTTATCTTTTAAAATTTCTACATGTCAATTTTTTTTGCCAAAATTTATTTGCTATAAAATTTTTAAAATTATTAAATATATGCTAAATTAATTTTAATTAAATTATTACATTGCAGAAAGTATGGGAAAGTGATAAAATGAAATCAATGGAGGAACTGATCAAAAAGAAACTCGCAAAAGCAACAGACAAAGAAAAATTGGACCTTTTGGTGATCCTGGAGGGTCACTTTGATCCAGAAAAAGAGCCAAAAATCAAAGTTGAAGTACCGGAGGTTAAAAAGAAGAGAAATTTGTCGAAAAAGCCACGTAACAAAGATAACGAAAATGAAAACGAAAAGGACAAGGATATTAATAAGAGTGTCTCGGAGACAGAGAGTCCAGACACAACGACGATGCTCACCCCGGAAAAAATAAAGACTGAGTCCTCATCCGATGCTACCGAAAATGAAGAAGCTACTTCTCCAAAAAAAAACTAATTAATACAAGTTTCGCTAATTACTTGTATTAATATAGATGTGCCTTACTAGCAGTTAAGATATAGTACTATCATTTATTTTTACATCAGCTCGCGAAATACTCTGAGATAAGTTTAAAAGAACAAAATAATGCTCATGATAAATATTAATTTAGTTGATACTCAAGCAACGAGTTATTTAGTTTTTGCACAAAGACTTTATCTATTATTTAAAAAGTTATTTTTTGTTTAACATTATTCAAAGTTTATTATTTTTTTTTTATTACTACTTCATACTAATTATGATAAATAATTAAAAACCAATTAATTTATTGGTTAATTATAAGTTCAGTGATTCAAAAAGTATTGATACGTATTAAAAAGTACTTAATTTCTTTTTCACGCATTTATTTAATGATTAAATAAATAAGAATACGGGTATGACGATTCAAATTAAATAGATAATTATAAGGATTGTAATGGAAAGAGGTATTATTTTGATTAATAGGTGTTATTATGAAATACTAACACCTGGCGATGATAAATATCTAGTTATGTGTTGGATCTCATTGTATTAACGAATTTATTAATATAATAAATCATTGATTGAAAAGCAGTTGCATTAATTATCCAGCTTATTGTCAGTATATTTCATTCAGTAATTACCCTTAACCAAGTGGTTTAATCGTAATAATAGTTTAGTCTAAGGATTAAATTATGGATTCGTAGTTATCGAGAGGAATTACCCTGAAGGAGATATATAGATATATCTAATATATATATATATATATATATATATATATAATGTATAATATCCATCGAGTAGACCAATGGATACTTGGAATTGTGCATCGAGTCCGGTATAATGCAAGTAGTGGTGGTACTCGGAATGTATATAATGGACACCGAGGATAACATTATGCACAAATACCCAAAGTATCATCAGAGTAATTTTATTTTTAACTCTTGAAAGTATTTAAATTAATGCCGCCGTAAATAAATTTAAGCAAGATATAATCTGATTAAAAAATCAGCAAGTTAAACCGGTTTTGTTAGCTTGCATTTAACACGGAATTCTTTTACTAAAATAATTGTGTTTGACGAGGACGGGCTAATTGTAACGACTTTCTATACTAGTTAAGTGCCCAAAGTAAACTGCTGCTGGAGTTTCATTACTTTGATCAGTTGTCAAAGAGTTGGTGAGACCAATTAGATAACGAGATGGGTCAAGCTGCGTACAGCATCTCTGGGTAAGTTTGTTACTTCATTTTAGTGATTATCTATTAACTATTTTTTTTTTTGTTCATTATTCATTTTCATTTTCAAGTCATTGTTTATTTAATTAAAAAAGTTAATTGCAAATTTTAATCATGGGTTATCTGTAAAATGTTGATTAAGCTTCAGGTCAAGTGCAGTAATTTCTTTGAGCATCATTTCGTATTCGATTATTTAAATATTCTTTTAAAGCTATCCTTGACTTATTAACTGACCGAATCTAGTGTGCTTAAAATTTCCACTGGGAAATTTAACTTGAGCGTGTAATATCACAAGTTCAAAGGCCTCGGAATTCTCATTAAAATTGATCGGTTCAATGGTGACGAAATTTAATTTGCTTTTTGTTAATTGAATATCTATAATAGGGACTCCAAAGGATTCGTCGAGTTTACTATCAATGGCATTATTTTTAAAGGTGAGAAAAACAATATGATATATTTTTAATGAACATATATATAAATATATATTAACATACTAGTAAATTGATTTGACTCTGTAACGAGATAATTTAAAATTTAGCTTGTCATTTAGCGAGTAATGCATGGGTAATCAGTAAATACAAATTATAGTGTAATTTTCTCGACGAAATATTTGCTACGTATTAAATAGAGGTAACTAGCCATGACGGTAAATTACGTCAACAGGATATTATGATCCGAATGAAACACAAAGTGTTTATTTTATAATTTTAATAATTTACTAATTTTCTAGAAATTTTTTTCTGAGAAAATTTTTAAAAGCCGTGATGTACCTAAAGATATTTTTTTATAATCACTTTATTTTATTGCAAAAAAGTTTGAAATTTCTTTTTTTTTAATCTGCGTTATAAAATTGTATTAAAGTTTTTAACTATCATTAAATCTGTTAATATTTTTCTAAGGTATTTAACATTTATTAGTAATAATTTTTTTAACGCTCACTTTTAATAACAAAAGTATTAAAACCGTAACTTTTTAAATAATAAAAAAAGTAATTACCGAAAACAAAACAAAAAATAAATAAACAATAATAACTTTTTCATTAAAAACTTGTCGAGGAAAGTTAATAATTTATTGAGTTATCTATTATAATTATCACTGTTATTAAATGAAAGTAAAAACAATGAGATTATAAAATAAAAGCACGAGTGTAATGACAACTCGAAAGTAATTTACATTGATATCACTTGAGCTTTGTATTTTAGAGATATAAAAAAAATTAATCAGTAGTTAAGAGAAAAGAAAAAAGTAGAATTAGATTGAATAGAATAGAATTGAATTGAGTCGAATCGAATCGAATCGGAGCGGATGAAGAAGATAAAAAAGCTAGTGTCTATTATCTATTTTTATTTCAGTGCAAGAGAACATACCACCCGAGACATCATTGAATGTTTTTATCCGAGAGCACGCGAAGCTGAGGGGTACAAAGTCAATGTGCCATGAGGGTGGATGTGGTGCTTGTATAGTCTCTGCTGAGATACGCGGTGAAACACTTGCTGTTAACTCATGTCTGGTCCCAGTCCTCATTTGCAATGGGTTGAGTATACAATTAATTAATTTAAAAGTAAAAAACAAATCATTCTTTTCTTCTCTCTTATTCTACTCATTTTAAATTAAACCTACGGTAGGTAAATTTTTAAAATTAAAAATAAAAAAATGACTTTAGTCTACAGAGAAGTAATTAGAGAATTTGATCTGACTAACGTGGCAGAAAAATAATGAACCAGAGCTACCTAAGCTAGATCTAAACCTAGATCTTGGCTTTACTCGTTGAGTCCAACAGAACCAGAAGGTTCATTTTTGACGAATTATTTAATTGGATGCGATAGAATTAAAAAAAATTTTCTTTGTCTGCTTTTAATCCAATTTCTCTTAAATGAATCATTATTATTATTATTATTATTATCATGTTAAATTAAAAATAATCGATATTTATATTCACAATTTACACAGTTTGAGTACTTTGGAAATAAAAACTTTAAAAATAATATATTGATATGACAGGACCAATTACCAATAATTTAATGGACAAGTGTGGTGAAACAAACTTATAGAACCACTCGACTATTCAAAAATTTGACAAAAAATTGACTATCACCAAAAAATATATAAAATTGCAAAAAGCACAAATTCAAGTCTATCCCTTTAAAATGTTACTGAATTTGATTAAAAAAAAAAAAAAAAACTAATTTTATCATAATTACGCCGGAAATAAAATTTTTCTTATTCTTTTCATTATATAAATAGCAATAATATATTTTCTATAAGTAATTTTATTATTATTGTTGTTATGATTATTATTATTATTATTATCATTATTGATAATTTTTTATTAAACAAATTTATTTTGCCAGGTGGAAAATCAAGACCGTCGAGGGAATAGGTAACAAAAAAATAGGTTATCACAAGATTCAAACTGCACTCGCGGGAATGAATGGCTCGCAATGCGGTTATTGTTCGCCTGGCATGGTCATGAATATGTACAGGTACGTTTGTATAATTAATCAAACGAGCAATCCACATTTGTAAATATATAATAATAATTTATTTATTTATTTATTTATTAACATACGCCTATCGGCAATATACATAAAGAAATTATTTAAAATTAAATAACATAAATTAAAGAAATTAAATTATGATTTAAATTGAAGCAAAGAACGAGAAAAAGAAAACTTTGTGTAGTTTATGTGTACATAAGCAACTGTCTTTTAATGTTTGACATAAAAATACTGAAGGTACCACCGTAAAATTCCACTTCGCCATTTAATTTATTCACCAGGTTTACTATTCTGTCATGAGGTCCATAATAATAATAATAATAACAATGCCATGCCAATGGCAATTATCGAAATATAAAAATAAATAATAAATAATTCTATTTGAATTGTAGCTTACTGCAAAGCAAAGAAGAATTAACGATGAAGGAGATTGAAAATTCATTTGGAAGTAATATCTGCCGGTGTACCGGGTACCGCGCAATTTTAGATGCCTTTAAAGGATTAGCCGTCGACGCAAGACCTGAACTAGTAGAAAAAATTCACGACATCGAGGTAATGGATCCAGTTATAACTCGAGTTATTACTCCTCTATAAATATACCCGCCTGATAATAGCCTCGTAGAAATTATAATAATATTATTTAAGCGCATTTTATATTTTCCATTATCAAGCTAATTAGAGCTGCTTATGATGGGAATCCTTGATGCGCTTACACAATTGATTCGCCGGAACGAACAAGAAGTTTGTTAATTAAGCATTAAATCCAGTGCTTATGATGAGCTTTTAGTTTCAAGATGTAATATTAATTTCAATCTGTCACGTTCTTAGGCGGCTTTTGTTTATTGAGTGTAATAATGAATGTGTACAATTAATTTTTATTTTAATCACAATCTAAGTAACTTTTTAATTATTGAAAAAAGTTATTTTTAAATAAGACATGTCTGCAAAGTTTAAAAATTTAATAGTCAATCGCTAAAACTTTGGAAATTTTAACTTCAGTAATTGAACTATGATCAAATCAAACTTGTAATTCCATTATATTTCCAATTATAATAGAAGATAGACTAAGTTTATTTTGAATGTTAATTTTACTTTCATTAGTTAAGAAGAAGATTTAATAATTTAATACAAAAAAGTCTATATTTATGTTGACAATTGTATTGAAAACGATCCATTTGAATTATATTGATAGTAAGAGTTTAAAACATTTGACTGATGAAGGTCTAATCTTTAAATTTTGGGACAAACTTTGTTGAAATGGGATAAACCCCATGTGGCCTTTGGGAATTTGAAATTTGATAAAAGTTTGTATTAATTCATAAAAAAAAAATTTATTTTCAACAATAAAACTTGGAAAAGAAACTAAAAAATTTATTAATTCATCAAGAGTAAATTTTGAATAAAGTTTTAAATTCTTATCTAAAATTGTAATTTTCATAATATTGATTTTTAAAGTTATCTTGTTTACCACGCGAAACTATAATTTAACAACTTCTTCTAGTCCTGTAAAAGTTCAAATTGCACTAGTTTGACTTCCAAAATTTATCTTTTGCGAAGTTAATAAAACAAAAAACTAAATATCGGTGGTTAATGTTACAAAAAAAATCATTTATCTCACTACTTAAATGTCTTTTTTTTGTAGCACGGTTTACTAGATTTCTTCTAATTCTTTATTAAACTTAAAAATTTCAAAATTTCTGTTTTTTCTCTATTGACAAAAATTGTATAAGAAATAAGAAAAAATTTTTTATTAGAAAGATTTTGAAATGACTAAATACAAAAAAATTTTTTTATGTAGTAATAAATATCAAAATTATCTTCACATATAAAATGAAAATTCGTTATTTGATCACAATATTAAGCAAAATAATCTTACAGGTCGGTTAGTAAATATTTTAATTTAAAATTTATACAGAATATCTTACATATTTATATTTGATCGAAATGAAATAATTTAACCATACAAAGGGTGATTTAGACTGTTGAAACTTCAGAAGCTAACAAAGTTTTAAGTTACCCAACAGAGCTCAAAATTATTCAGATTACCAATATATATATATATATATATATAATTCTGATAATATACAGGAATTGTATAAGCTGAAGATGTGCCCAAAGTCCGGAGAACCTTGTAAAGGTAGCTGCATAAATGTAAGCGGTAGCAGTGAGGAAATGCCGGAAATGCCAACAAAATTGAGCGAAGTTCACATAATGGCGATGAATAATGTACAGTTTCACAAAGTTCTCTCTGTTGAGGGTCTCTTCAACGTCTTTAATAACAATCCAAATGCAACTTATGTATTAAACGGCGGCAACACCGGGCACGGTAAGGCTACTGTTTTATATATAGAACATGTTGATAGTTGATAGTTGTTGCGGTGGTGACAGATGATGATGTTGGTTGAGTATATATAGAGTATAAGAGAGTTAAGGGCTCCAGAGCCACTAGGGGAGAATTATTACAGATTATTATTATTATCAATATATAGAATAATGGGCACAAAATCAGTAGATACAGCAATTAGCTGGGCTTGTAGATGTTATACTTGAGCTTTAACATCGACACGAGGATCCACGATGTGGTGATAATGAAGGATCGATGATACTAACATGTTACGAGGCTATTGTATTTGTGTAGATAGCATTGTATATTATGTCTGTCCGCAGGTGTTTACCGACTGGAGAAGCCGCAAATATATTTGGATTTGAATGACGTCGCTGACCTACATCGTGTCGAGAAAACCGATATAATGCTGACCTTCGGCGGGAATTGCACCCTCACTGTTGCCAAAAACACCTTCAAGAAGTACGCCACCGATCCCGGGTTCAAACATTTGCAGCACATGGCTAATCACGTCGACCTTATTGCCAGTGTCGCTGTCCGCAATGTTTGTTTCTTTTTATTTATTATTAAGACTGGGGTGTTGAATTATTTTTTTTAACTTTAACATATTCAACAAAAAATAAGATTGATTAAAAATTTTAATATCAGAACCGAATAATTTAATTAATCATCCAAGAAAAATAATTGATTGATTTTAAAAAAGTTGAATAATTAAATAATGTACTATTTTAATGATAAATTCAATCAGTTAGAAAGAAATATTATTTTACATAATCAAGAAGTTAACTTCTTTATTTTGTTAAATTATTTTGTAAGAAGTTTAAGTATTTTTTTTGTTTAATAGTTAAAGTTTTAGATTCCGTATTTTAATAAAATCCAGGCAGAGTATTTCGGCTTAATTAATTTGTCTTCAATGTCTCGTCAGAGAAACAAACAACATCTAGCTGATGAGAATCCAGCTCTTTCACTAAATATCTATCATTATATATTTTATCTTGTCTATTAAAATTTCATCTAACATCAGATGTTTATGTTTACGTTTTTAATGGATTAAATAAAATGGTTTTGATAGTATATTTAGTATATAATACAGAAAGGGGGATAAAGAGAAGTATATGAGTACGGGTACTTGGTAAATCAAGATATGGGGTTATATATTTAGTTTGTTAATGAAAGAAAAGCAACTAGGGGTAGTAACGCGTGTGTTGGTATTTCTGTGGTCTTACAGATAGGAACGTTGGCTGGAAATCTGATGATAAAGCACAAACACCACGAGTTTCCCTCGGATTTGTTTCTGCTACTGGAAACCGCCGGAGCCGAGATACATATCCGTAAAATTTTATATCATATTTCATTACTTTAAAGTTTCTGTTTCACGTGTCCACTGGCATATGAGACTCATAAACGATTCAATGATGCAGTTTTCATGCCAAAGGATCATATTAAATTTACGTCATTCGTTTTTTGTTTCGGACCAAAATTTAAACGGACCAAACTTTTGAAACTCTCTTCTATTCATTTTAAAGTTTAAATTTAGTAATTGCGCGTTTACTGTACTTTATGTTTAATATTGTAGCATGTGATTGAATAGAATTGAATATTACTTTATACATAGATATATATTTGCATTATGTGAAGTAGTTTGAACGCAGTAATGAAAATTTTAATCGTTCAAGTATATTCTAGCTTCATGATACCAACTCAAATGAAAGTATTAAGCTCCTTATATTTTTACTTTAAGCAAAGTAATATTGAAATTAAATTTTTGAATAATTTTTTTGTGAATTTTTAATGAAGAGATTTTATTTTTTTTAAAACGTTAATTAATATCGGTTGTGAAAAAACTTTATTATTACATTTATCATTTAATAATTGATCGTTCGACGTCATTAAATTATTTAATATTTTACACGTCAATAATAATTATTTTGATTCGGGGATTTATGTATAAATCATAATAATATTAATATGATCTGATGGTATAAATAATGCAATATTTAACTTGATATTTTTAATCTTTTATGAGCATCGTGGGCTGCCGTTAAATAAAAAGCATCGAGATAAAAATGTAACTATTGATTTATTTTTTAGTTGAATCACCTGGGGTTAAAAAAAATGTAAGCCTAATGGATTTCCTGAAGATAGATATGAAACACAAAATAATATACAGCATCGTTCTGCCAGCGTTGAAGCCGGAGCATGTGTATCGATCTTATAAGGTACAGTAGTAACTTAAGGAAATGGTTTGTGCTGTTATGTTATGAGTGTAGCCGGGGGAAATCCTTTGCATTTACTGGCTACACAAATAAATGAACACAGTAAATGTACATACCAGATAAACATATATATATATATATATATATATATATATATATATATATATATATATATATAGGTATATAGAAGGTTTATACAACAGACCTACATACACATAAGCATCTAAATATCATTCGAATATGTATATGTTAGTGACCGTTGGTGTATATTTAATTTGTTTCAAAACAAATTGAAATTCCACTTGGTAATAAATCGGCTAATTAATGGCACAATAATGTTACGAAATTTATGTTAATTAACATAATTAATAATTATTGTATTAAATGTCTAGGTAATGCCGAGAGCTCAAAATGCCCATGCTCATGTGAATGCCGGGTTTCTATTCAAACTCGATGCAAGAGGAATTGTGTTGGAGAAGCCCAATATTATATTTGGAGGAATTCGACACGATTTTGTGAGTCTTGTTTATTTTATTTTTAAAAAATATTCATTTAAATAAAAAAAAAAAATTATTTAAATTTTGGCAAAACAGCCAGAAAAAAAGGACAATATTTTTTTATAGCCATTAAGTCTGGTAATAAATTTTTTTCTTTCGATAAAATCATTTTTTACGTGAATGTTGGAATAGACATTACTCAAGTCAAGTCTTTAAATTTAGTTGTTAAAATATTTATCACGAGATATAAATAACAATAATAAAAATACATGTCAAGTAAAATGAAATATTACGTAAAAATATCACGTAAAAAGTCTGAAGAGTTTTATCTCATCTTAAGCCATTTGTCAAATAGTAAAACCTCTTTCAATGCTATATGTGCATAAGTATATTGACGACATATTTTTTACAGTTGCATGCAACATCAATGGAAGATTTTCTTAACGGAAAATCACTTTTTGACAAAAATATCTTCAAACAAGCCTTAGACATACTCGACGCAGAATTGAAACCAGATCGTGTACTACCCGATTATACACCAGAGTTCCGAAAAACTCTATCTCTAGGATTATTTTACAAGGTATTGTATATAACTCATCTGAATATAATAAAAGATATAAATTTTCCTTATTAGACTAATTACGTAACTGATACAAAATTTCCGGATAAAAGAAATTCGATCAGTTAAAAAGAAGATTTTTTTATGATTACAGTTCGTTCTCAGTTTATTGTCGGAAAATGTTAGCGAGAGACTACGAAGTGGCGGCTCTATGCAGAAACGTGATGTATCATCTGCAAGACACGATTATGACATAGATAAAAATATGTGGCCAGTTAATAAACCCGTACCGAAAATGGAATCTATTTACCAGACGTCTGGAGAAGCTCAGTATGTTAACGATCTACCGCCACAGTCTAATGAAGTTTTCTGTGCATTCGTTCATGCTGAGTTTGCGGTTGGGGTTGTTGAAAACATTGACGCCTCTGAAGCTCTGGTAAGCTTTGATTATAAAATCATTTGTGATGATTATTTGATTGATTAATTGTTTTAATTTAAACAGGCAATGGATGGTGTTGTAGCTTTTTTGACAGCCAAAGATGTCCCAGGCAAAAATCTTGCAATCAATGGGGAAAACAAAGAAGTTTTATTAGATCATAATGAATTGGTAATAATATATATTATATAATTTTCCAAAGATTATTATTATTATCTTATTATTTTTATCCTTATTATCATTACTTAGATATAATTCAATTTCATTAATATGATTAAATATTTAATACCCTGCAATAGGAAGATAATTATAAGAAATTTAAATTCAATTATAAACACTGTATTCATCATAAATTAAATTTAAATAGGATTTTATTTTCTTTATGCGAAAAGAATAGGTATTACCGTTTTTTTACTTAGTTGTTCATATTTTATTTATATTGAAGTTAAGTAAGGATTATGTATATTATTTATATATTTTTATCAAAGTGCAACACTGTCAAATAATATTTACATTTTAGTTTTATATAATCCTTTTTCAGTTGAATATAAATTGACGTTTTTTATATTAAAAAAAAAAAATCATAAAATTCCTAGCTGAACTTTAAAATAAATAAATTCTTTAAACTGTACTCTAAACAATTTCTGTAGAGAAAAATATTCATATACAATTCGTACTTGACCTGTTAATTAATTAAAAAAAAAAAATTTTCTTCGTTATAACTTTTGTAATAAAATTTAATTATTCAATTCAGCTATTTCTAGAGAAAGAAATTCAGTATTCAGGGCAACCGATCGGCGTAATAGCGGCAACAACCTACGCACGAGCTTACGAAGCCGCTAAAAAAGTTAAAATCACTTACTCCGAGACGGGAAAGAGAAAGCCAATAATAACAATAAAGGATGTGCTGGGATCTGCGGACAGCTCAAGATTATTACCAACGATTACAGTTCCCGCAAAGTCAAAAGGTACTTTTATCAATTGCCTATCAATCAATCAATCAATCCATCACCCCATCAGTTAATTAACTTAGCCATTTAGGACACCGATAACGAACCTAATGACTGACATTCTGAGATCATCGATTTTACTGACGATCAGAAATTTGAATTTTTTTTATCTCTATCAACAATCGATATAATAAAAAATAATTATCGCATGCAGGTAGCGACATCGCTCACGTTATAAAAGGAGACATGGAAATCGGAGGACAATATCACTACACAATGGAACCGCAGTCGTGTGTTTGCATTCCAACAGAAGATGGAATAGATGTTTACCCGACATCACAATTCATAGACCTCACCCAAGTTTCAATAGCTGACTGTCTTGGTATTCCTAACAACAGGTAACTGAACTATCAAATGTATATTAATATTTGCGTAAAGACCCGGAGCAAGAGCTTCCAAACCACAAGATCAGCTTTCTGCTTCAATTTATACTTATCCGCTTTTACCTCATCGCACTGTTTCTTGTATACATCTCGTATCTTAGCTTCGTAATTGTTAATCCTCAACACAAACTCCCTCAAGAAATTAATTCCTTTACCGTGGGGTATTCTGAAATCTATAATCTCCAATAACTACTAGCTGCATAACCCATAGCTACATTAATTGTTACCAATTATGTGCTGTATCGTTCGTACATATCTTATTTTTATCTTTACTTTGTATAAGAATTAATGATCATATTATTTTTTAATTTTTTCTAATTATTATTATCATCTGCAAATCTTTATTTATAATATCATGAAAATATTTCTTCAAAATTTTTCGTTAATTCAATTAATATTTTCCAAGATGTCAGACAATAAACAAAGTTTTTGAGATATCATACTAAATCCAAACTTCTAAATGTTAAAAAAAAATTTTTATTTCGAATGAATTAATTTTTTCTTTATTAATTTGAATAATTTCCAGATAAAAGTTATTCTTATAAAATTAAATTAAAATTTATAGTTTTTGATTTATAATTTTTTTTTGTAATTATACAAAAAGGTACTTTTTTTGCTTAGGCTATAACTTAAAACACAATATTTTTGAAACTATTTTTCAAAGCTTTTACAGCTTATTAAAGTATAAAGAGCTAGTACTTGGTCGAAGAAATTTTTTTTTTTTTAATTTCGATTAATAATTTTTTTTCCTTTCGAAGTTTTGGTTAAGACAAGTTAAAATATAATATTATAACTCGGTATTAAGGTAAAAGACCCAGTTATTGACACTGGCCTAGTTGTTTGACACTTGCAATTTTATTCTAATTAAAAAAATTAAATGTTCTCAAAAAACCAATTTTCTTAAAATTTATGATTCAAAAATTATATTTATTAATTTATTAAAGTTAATTTGTTTTTTTTAATTAAAATAAAATTACAAGTGTCAATAACTAGGCCAGTGTCAATAATTGGGTCTTTCACCTTATTACTTTTATGAAATGAATTTAATTAATATCGAAAAAAAATTATTAATTAAAAATACTAATTCTTTTTATGCCTTAAAATACACCAAACTCCTCATACTAATGCTAAGCAAAAGCTTGTTGCAATAATTCATAGAAATTGAAGCTGTCGAATTAGTCGAACAATTTAGCGAATTGATATGAAATAACCGGTATTTGTCTATCTACAGGGTCAATATTAACGTACGAAGACTTGGTGGTGGATATGGCGCCAAGATATCACGAAACAATCCAGTCTCCTGTGCATGTGCGGTTGTATCATATGTATTAAATCGTCCAGCAAGATTTATAATGTCTATTGAGAGTAATATGATGTGTTTGGGTAAGCGCCCGCACGCAAGACAAGAGTACGAGGTCGGCGTTGACGCCCAGGGTGTAATACAGTATCTCAACAGCACTAGTTGGCATAATGCCGGCTGCTCCTGGAACGAATTCTCATCAGTCTTAACGTTTCAACATATTTACACATGCTACGATGGATCAACTTGGAATGTCGGAGTCGTTGATGCGATGACTGACGTCCCCTCTAATACTTATTGCCGCGCTCCAGGTTTTAATTACTATTATATTTATTAATTTTAAAGTTACCTACACTTTATACTGGTCTTTTTGGAATTTAATTGTTTCGAAATTGAATTTCGAATTACTCTATTCAATTGCTGAACTTCAAAGGAAACATTGTACTCTACTGACAATACAAACGTTTGATGTTTAATATTAAATGTTGTTAAACCCCTTGTAGGTTCTACTGAAGGAATTGCCATGTCTGAGAATATTATGGAACATATATCCAGAACATTAAATAAAGATCCTATTGAGGTAAGGTTGAGTAATATGAATGCTCCGGATAAAGAAGTACTTAGTAAAATGATTGACGACTTGAAAATGTCTTCTGATTATGAAGCGCGACAACGTAGTGTTCGACTTTTCAATACCGTAAGTAACTATATTAATTATAATCTTTTATACCTTTAGGAAAATCCTTTAGGAGGAAAACTTTTGTCTATGGAGTATTTGTATATCTTTCCTGCTCTCTCTCTCTTATTCTTTGAATGAAGGGATGTAACTTTAAAAATTCTAAATTTCTAAAAAAATAAACGAATTAACAGTTTGGTCTAAAAACCTTGTAAGGAAAGCAAAAAAAATTGAATTAGTATATAATGATCATTAGAAAAAAATTTATCAAAAGATTTAAAGCCTATTATCCTTTATACGGAGAGAATTTTATATGAGTGCCAACAATACACCTTTTGTAGATTCTATACAGAAAAAAAAACTTCTTGCACCAAGAAAATTTTAAGGAAGAAATTTTCAATCTTCCTTAATATTTTTTTGAGCCAAGAAAATTTACTCTTCAGTCAATAATTTTTTTTTCAGTGTACTATCTTAGATAGTTATTCATTTTGTAAAAGTCAAAATGATTTTATCCCAATAAATCTGCACCAAACATTGAACAGCACTTTCTGCACTCCAACTTTAGATATTAGGGTTGATAATGTCAAATTTATGAATAAAATTAAGTTAATTTAGTATCGAAATTCTGATACCAATCAAAAAAATGGACTTGTTCATTTAGGATTAGAGCGCGCATGTACAGCACGCAATTTTAATTTCTATTACTATTTTTAAAATTTATTTCAAAACTACCCAGACTATGTATATTATGATTGAAAACTTCAAAAAATCATTAACCCAAAGTTTTTTTCTATTCATAATTTGTAATTTTTAGCAGTCACCTAGACACTATATGGCTCTAGTTTTGTAATAATAAATATAACGAAATTAACAGGAAAATCGATGGAAGAAACGAGGACTATCTTTAGTACCAATGACATATCCTTTCCATCCATTCGGTCAGTTTCATGCATTAGTGTCGATATACGCTCGAGATGGTACAGTCGCTATTATACATGGTGGCATCGAGATGGGTCAGGGTATTCACACTAAGGTAATGAAAGCAGTATATAGCCTGGTGTTATAGAGTACGAGGTTACCCGGGAGCTACTACCAGCTCGGGATAAAGCGAATCGAAGATAATCCTCTGTAAATGTTATACAGGTTGCTCAGGCTGCTGCTTATACACTGGGCATCGATCTGGAAATGGTTAACGTCAAACCCTCGAATAACGTTGTCGCTCCGAATAATACAGTCACCGGGGGAAGTCTCGGAAGCGAAACTTGTGCTCGGGTAAACATTATATATAATATCCTACTTGAATTTATTTTATCCGATTTTAAAATTCTCTATCCAATCTAATCATTTATATTTATTCGTGTTGTTTTTTTCTTTCAGGCAACAATAAATGCATGCAAAGAATTATTGGAGAGATTAGAGCCGATTAAAAAAGAAATGGGAAATCCTTCGTGGAAGGAGCTTGTGTTTGCTGCTCACGCTAAAAATGTTGATCTTGTAGCTCGATGCATGTAAGATAATTTAAATTATTTGAATTTAAAATAGATAAATTTAATGTTTAATATCAAAATCAAATATTGGTGATATATACACAACTGTAGAAGTTGGCCACTAAATATTTAGAGAGTGTATTTGATGTTTGATACTGTCTACATTGATTGGCCTTAACTTAACACACGATACAATGGCTATTCATGAATCTAGGGTTACCAATGGTCCCGAGCATGGTTATCCAATCTACGGTGCTGGTGTTGCTGAAGTAGAGCTGGATTTGTTAACGGGACAACACTTGATTCGACGAGTCGATTTATTGGAAGACGTTGGCATCAGCATGAATCCAGAGATTGATTTAGGACAAGCAGAAGGCGCATATGTAATGGGGATCGGGTATTGGACTAGCGAGGACCTCGTTTACTGTCCTAAAACCGGGCTACTAGCAAATCACCGTACCTGGGTTTGTATCGTTTTTTTTTAATTTTTTTTTCCGAGGACTTTAAAGAGTTACAAAAGCATTATCCTGTTATTTATAACCGCAGAATTATAAACCACCTGGTGCTAAGGATATCCCCGTGGACTTTCGTGTATCCTTTAGACGTAATGCACCAAACCCCACGGGAGTTCTACGATCCAAAGGTATATTACTCTAGCTTTAAATATTGTTACCAAAACGTTTGAATTATTTATTTTATCGTTTCAAGCTGTTGGGGAGCCACCATTATGCATGAGCTACGGTATAGTATTGGCCATACGTGATGCACTAGACTCTGCTAGAAAGGATGCCGGTAATAACGATATTTGGTATCCTCTAGGTCAGTTTTTATGGCTATTTTATTATTATATACTACTTTACTTACTTTTCTTTTAAAGTAATAAAACTTTTACTATAATTTAAAGCCTTAGTAATTAGTATGGTCAAAATTTTATTGAACTAATAAAACTAGGGCTCTTAATAATTAATTAAGAAGTTTGCTATTCATTTATTTAAACTCCCAGGTATCTACTGATGTATTCGAATCTAGTTAAATAAATTTTAATAAGTTTTATAACTATGACTTTAAAATTGATAATTCAATAACGATTTTAGTATAAAATCCATTTATTCAATTTACAACAGAAGTTTTTAATGTTTTTATTTATAGATACCTCGAAGAAGTTTAAATAAATAAATAAATTCGATAAATCGTAATGAAAGCAACAGATATTTGAAATTTTTTAATTAATTAAATATAATACTAAAGTTAGCCGACGTTTCTAATTTTTTAATTTTTTTCCATTAATTAAATTGGAACAAAAAAACATTTTTAAAAAATTGCACTTAAAGTTTTTCAAGTTTTTTAAAAATGAAATTTTTTTTCTTATTTTTTTGTAATAATTTTTTTAATGAAAAAAATTTTTAAAATTATTAAATGTCGGCTAACTTAATTTTCATTAATTAAATTAATTGAAAAAAAATATTTTCATCTACTACTTTCACTATTTAAAAATTGAATTTTTAACTAATAAAAAAATTTAATTGACTTACAGATGGACCGGTGACAACTGAAAAAATTCTTATGACAAGTCTGACGTCCAAGGAAATGATGGTCCTGTATTAGAAAAATAAATCTAGTATTAAAAAATAATTTATATTTAGTTACGTTATCTATTATAATGAAAATAATGATAATAATTGTTATAATACTTGCATTGGGATCAAGTCTACTGTAGTTATAAAAGGGATTAATAAAATATACTGCTGCATTAAATTATTAATTGACACTAACTATAACCTTAAAACACTTGCTATAAATTATATATTACACAACATCAATATAAAACAATAAACTAAATGAATCTTCAATTAAAATATTAATACTCTGTGAATACGAGTTAATTATATTGACCTGCATTGAGATCGTTCGAATATTTTTATTATCCACGCTTATTCCATTTCCTCATTTCTTTTGTTTACGCTATTGTTGCAAAATTTCTAAATAATTGTCTACTTAACATTCTTTCTTTTATTACTATTCTAAAAATTAAAATACATGAATCATCTAGAAAGTTTTATCTTTTTCTTTATTTTTGCGAAGATATTTTTACGACCGTCATTATTACTCGGCGCCTGCGGACTGACAATAAAACAAGATGGCGTCTCGTGACTTGTCCGAATTTCAAATTTCGAACATTATGCATCAGCGCCACCAGAATTTTCCAGCGGTCGGTAATGTTACTACAGTGAAAAAAAAATTTTTAATCTTTTATTTTTATCTGACAACTTAAATTTTGTTAATTCATCATTTAATAATGTAATTGGTATTTATTAAATTATGGCAAAAAAAAAGAACGGATGTCCAAGATAACCAAGGCGAGGATAAGAAAAAAAATATATGAATGTCGTACATAAGTATAGATAGATATTGATATTGTATATATATGTATATACATTGTAAATGTAAAATGTACATAAATATATGTATATTATAATAATTATATTATCAAGACTAGAGGAAGCAAGAGTATGATATTATTAACTACAATATATAGTAGTTGTATTATTACTAGGATAAGTAATAGTAAATAAATATATATAAAAAGAAAAAAAAAACAAAGAAAGTAAAAAATAAAAGTGAGACCAACAGTCGACCATTTTGCCAGTGAGTAAAAATGGCCGTCCAAGAAACACGGGTTTTTATATTGTTATAATATATTATTATTTTTTACCATGATAACTTTAGCTGAACAAATAAACTCAATCAGTACCAACAAGTATTCGGTGTAACAAGTGTAGGTTACGGTTCAGACAAACAAATAAAATAAATGAAAGTGGTTTTAAAAAATTGTAAGTTCAATCAATTAAATTTTTAAAAAAGTAATCAATCATTTTTTTTAAACAAAAACATTAATGTGACATCTAACCTGTACTATAAATTTATTGACTAACTAATTATTATATTTTTATTTTGTTTAAGGTTACTAACAATAACAACGTAATGGAGTTTGTGATCTAAATAATAAATCTGAGTAATGTTATTTATTGATAAATAATTTTATTTAAAATAATTGTAATTAATACAGTTGACGTAATTGGTTTGGTAATTTTTTAACGCACTGGTGTGTAAAAATAATTTATTTATAAAAAATAAACTGCATCAAGAAGAAAAAGATTTTTTAAAAAGAGAAAAAATCATAACAATCAAGTAAGATATTTATTAATTATGCTGGTAATTTTTGATCATGCTGATGCATGTCTATCATCAACAATGTCATTAAGTTTTCGAATAAATAATATACTTTTAACGATAACAATATTATGCAAGCAATGCTGATGAAATTAAAAAATTAAACGGGTGCATGCAGAAATAATGATTAATTAAAAAATAAATCATTTATTAATCACAGCATGAATAATATTAATAAAATTAATAATAATAATAATAATAATATTTTAGCAATGCGTAAATATAAAGACATATATCACGTGTGCAGGACTTAATATAATGGACAGCTGAGCAAGATAAATAGTTTATTTTATTAAGTACAATAAAATTATATTGATGGATTGATCAGCCGAGTATTAAGTTACGAGTCATGATGGATGATCGTAGAGTCGCTGATTATTTTGTTGTCGCGGGTTTACCTGGTCAAAATGATGACTTTGACAAGGACAACGAGGCCGATAAACTCGAGGACTGGTGTCAAGAGGGCACACACCTTAAGGATTGTAATTTACAAGCTCCAATCACAGATTTGGCTGTGATATTCCCAGCTTTGGGTGAAAATTGTCCCGATGGTTATACTCAATTGGAGCACACGGTGTCGGGATTTCCCGCGGATTTAAATCACGGGAGTCTACGTACTAATGAGTGTTATTTGTGCTACCGGAGAGGTAGAGATAAACCACCACTTGTAGATATTGGTAATTATTCATATTATATAATTTATTAAGGGGGAACACCACTGTGACGATCGAAAAAAAGAGGTGATTTTCGGGAATTTTTTTGATAGAGAAAATAAAGGAATTTGGGGATCGGGTTTTTTTTTATTTTATTAAGAGTACATTAAAGATTATTACCCTAAATTTTTATTACAAAATATTTAATTATAACATATTTAATTATAACAATCTCGTAGAGCACTAAAAAAAATTTCCCCCTCCATTAAAACAAAATAAAACAGCAAGAATAGTGAGAAAATTTTTAATCAGTCGCCATTTTTTTTAAATTAAAATTTTCAAAATTCCATACGTGCGACGATAACTACATCCTTGCTGATTAAAAAGCAATTTGGATTTTTATTTTCAGCTAATCCGTTTTTGAGTTATCGAACCGACCATGGAGGGGGAAATTTTTTCTAGTGCTCTACGAGATTGTTAATAACTTTGTAATAATTAAATATTTTTTAATAAAAATTTAGGGTAATAATTTTTAATGTACCCTTAATAAAATAAAAAAAATCCGATTCCCATATTCCTTTATTTTCCCTGTCAAAAAAAATTCCCGAAAATCACCTCTTTCTTTCGATCGCCACAGTGGTGTTCCCCCTTAATTGAATAATATCGAAGTTTGTAAAAATAAACAATTTTTTTAAATATATTTCTCAAAAAAATAAAATTGTCAATTTTTGTTAAATTCAATATCGTTTAATTTTTCAATAATGGTTAATATTAAATTAAATTCATAAATATTAAAATGTTACAGGTATTATCTATGATGGCAAAGAGCGTATTATGGAAGACGCTCAAATGATAACAGAAACACCCCATGGACATGTCGCTAATGTAAATAATTCGACATCGAAAATATTTGTAACATTTAGACGTGCTAGCAAAAAAATGCCTTGTAATTCACTAGTTGTTACGGACATTTGTGTTATTTTAACAAACAAAGGTGAAACAGCGCCTCAGGCATTCTGTACAATAAATAAAAATTTAAATAAAGGTATGTTAGGAAGTGATGTTTTTCTGTGTTACAAAAAGTCTATGAATAGAGCTAATTTGATATCATTTAAACCGTCAATACTGTACAAATATCCAATGACGGACTACAATAGTTTTGGATTTCCAAATTCAGTGGCCATGTTTTGTTTGCCAATGGGCGCAACTATTGAATGTTGGCCAAAAGTTGCCTGCAAACCGAAGCCTGTATTCTCAACATTTGTATTAACTGTTGCTGATGCTGCTCAAAAAATTTACGGCTCTGCAATAACTTTTTACGAGGAAGTAATACCAGATTTTATAAACAACACTACTAAGCACAACAACGAACACAATAATGAGTTAGACGTCAATACGAAAATAAATAATACCAACACGAGTATTATAGAAGGCGATGAAAGTATCACAGATAAACCGCTGATCAAGATGAAAGTCTTTAAAAAATTTGGTGTACTGAAGAAATTGTCTCTGGGACAGTTGGAAAAATTACAGTACACTGATCCAGAATTACAATCACTAAATATTAGTAAATCTATATGTATACTGTCTCATTGGCCATTTTTTGATACATTTGAAAAATTTTTAGGTTTTTTACACAGTATGGTTAATGAAAAACCTCAGTGTATCCCTATTGAAAAGTATATATCATATTTTTTGTGTGATATACCATTTCCAAGTCCACAAAGACCACGAATATTGGTGCAGTTAAGCGCTTCGGATCGGCTTATATTAACGCAGCCGGAGGATTTAGCGCTACCGCGTTCTGGTGCCAGTTTTCGACAATTGCTGGTGAACCTCGGACCCGAAAATTGTATGCTTATATTGCTTTTAATACTGACGGAGCAGAAAATATTGGTGCATTCATTGAGGCCTGATGTGTTGACGTCAGTAAGTGAAGCTATTGCTATGATATTATTTCCTTTTAAATGGCAGTGTCCTTACATACCACTTTGTCCGCTGGGCTTGGCAGAGGTACTGCACGCGCCGCTGCCATTTCTAATTGGCGTTGACTCACGCTTCTTTGATCTTTATGACCCGCCATCGGATGTTAACTGCGTAAATTTGGACACCAACAACATTGTACTGTGTGAAGACAAACGTCACTTGAATATAAAGCTACTGCCTAAAAAACCAGCGAGACTTTTGAAGAATGACCTGGAGCATATATCGATGAAATTGAGCAGTCAAGGTAAATTTCATTCGCAACGTGAGAAACCGGATGAAGACTTCAGCGTTGACAAAGAATTCCAACAAAAGCGAAAAGAGCAAGGACTTGAATTGGAAATCCAGGATTCATTTTTACATTTCATGGCACTAATTCTAAAAGGATACCGTAGTTATTTATTACCAATAACTAAAGCACCCACTGTTGGCTCAACAGATCCTACTAGTCTATTTAATATCCAGGCTTTTCTGCGTAGCCGTGACAAAGCTCATGCTAAATTCTACAGCCTACTTGTAAGAACGCAAATGTTTATACGATTTATAGAGGAGCGCAGCTTTGTTTCTGACATGGATATGGCAGGATTAGCGTTCTTCGATGAGTGTACTGAGCGTGTCGAGGAGGAAAACGTCACGTTTCTGGAGTTAGATGAGTCTCAGCACAGTGAGCGCACTGTTTTTATACCACCTCCGGATCCGGGGCCTAATCAACAGCCAGTTATTTATAAAACATTTAAGTTGAATCCGGATTTAATGAGGCCGCAAAAAAACTTGAGCAATAAAAACCCGGCATTGAGTGCTTTTGGTATTACTCCTGGTAGTCCAATGGCACGTCGTACTAAACATGAGATTAAAGTTGCTCAGAGAATGGCTCGTAAACAAGTAAGTGCTTGTAATAAAATTTAATTATGTACATAGAACTGTAATTTAGATTTTTAAATATTATCACTCAGGCAGCACTTCCTGAACGATGGGGTAGATGTTTACTCGGTACGTGTAATAGTCTGTGGTTCTTACATTTACCAGCGATGCTACAAGTATCAAGTCAACCAGCCGTGATACTTCATCAGGCTTATGAATTACTGGTTAAAATGCAAAAGTTAAGGCTAGATCCGATGGAGGAAGTAAGTTTCAATAGTATTTATATCAAATTTTTTGCTTATGTTTTTATGTAATTACATATTCATTATATTAAATTATGTTACTTTAGGTGTGTTATAGAGCAATGATGCAACTCTGTGGTGTGTATGGTCAACCACTACTGGCAGTTAAATTGTTATTTCACATGAAACGCAGCGGCGTGCAACCAAATGCACTTACATACGGATTTTACAACAAGGTAATGGATATAATGTCATGTTAGTACTATTTATTATTAATAGTAATAATAATTATGATTGTTATTTAAGATATTATGAAGGCTGTTATTGTGTTTTGAATGTTTATGAGGTTTTTTAATGGGTTTATTTTGCAAATAGGCTGTCCTTGAAGCCACCTGGCCGTCGGATATGACCAACTCGAGCCAACTAATGTGGAATAAACTGAGAAATGTTATCGTGGGCGCAGCTTTATTTAAACGGGCTGGTAAAAAAAGTGCAAGACGACGGCTAAGCTCTAATCCGGACGTTATTGGTATTGAAGGATTAAAAATACAGGGAATGGATAATTTGGCTACATCCCGATCCAGCCTTGATAGTACGCATTCTCATGATCCTGAAGCTGTTAATAATGACTGTAAGTCTTTTTTAATATAAACTTTTTTTTTCAACCGCTACATTGATCTAGCTTAAAAAAATGATTTTAAAAATGATTATTATTTTATTTTTATAAAAAATATTAAACTGGGTTATCATCAAATTTATTAAATAAACATGTATTTACTAGAATGAAATCTTTGTAATTAATAAGGTAAAGTACCCAGTAGTTGAACAGGTTTCAAAGTAAAACTTATTTGACCCTACTTTTAATGTATAAAGATGTAATTATTAGTTAAAATTAGTGATTTTCATGAAAATATAAACAATTTTGAATTGATTGAAGCACAAAATAGCAAAGATAATTGATTATTTATATTTTGACAACGTTTTTAAAATAGACTATGAAAGGAGTAGTAGTTGAACTAATAAAATATATGGCAATAGGCACAGCAGAAATTTTCAACGTTATATTGAAATATCAAAAGAAATATAACATATTATTGAATAATATTAAAATAATACTGTGAATATTTAATATGTTCATTTAAAAATGAGAAATATTTGTATTTAATTTTTTAATTACATTTTTTATGAGTGACAAAGCAAATTTTCAATTATAAATAAAAAAAACTCAATTCAAAACGTTCTATAATTTTTAACTACACTAATTTTTAGCCATAAAACTTGTTTAAATTGCAGTAATTAATACAAATCACAATGCTAATCACTAGTCTATAAACCTATTAGAGGTTATAGTGCTGTTAAAATTATACGGCCTCAGCCTGTTCAAGTTCTAGGTACCGCTTTGAAAATTTGGAGGTATAGTTGAACGCTAAAATTTAATATAAAAATTATAGTTTATGTCTTTACAAAAAATATATGTTATTTAGAAAAGACTATTTTATTAGATGGTACAATTTTTTTTACTTAAAATGATGGTATACCGTTTTTTTTTACTAATTGTTCGGTTTACGATTTAGTACCTTTTTCATGAAAAACATAGTATAGCATTTATCGGTGATTCTTGACATGTCAACTTTTAAGTTAATAAAAATATAATTGTTTTGATTTATAATTGAAAAAACTTACAGAAATCAATTACTGTATCATTTAATAATTATAATATGCGCATATTACTCATAATAAATTTACGGATTTTGTGTTATAAAAATTCGAAAAGTTTGTTCAAGTACTGGTCCCATTTTTATAAGTGTTCAAGTACTGGGTACTTTAATTTATTGCAAGTAATTAAATATTTTTATCATCTTTTTTAGTGGCATTAAAAGGTAGCTCAGTTCCTGATTTACCGGGTCTAGGTTTCATGGACATGAAGATAAAATCTAAATTCCTGCGTCAAGATAGTATCGTGAAAGACGTAGGAATGATTTGTGCAGCACAGCCTGAAGTGCTTGATGATTCACCATCTGATTCACGGTAAAAAAAAAAATTTATAGAATTTTATCTAACGCAGTAGACCAAAAAAAAAAAATAAAATTTCTGTGGCTTATCATTCTGTCATTAATCACAAGTCATTAATAGATATTTTAATGATAAACAGATCAATAGACACGCCGGAATCACCACTCAAAAGCCCAATCAGGACTCCAGTAACGGAAAATGATCCCTTAGGAGCTTTGGTTAATGACGAAACTCCCATTGTATCCCCGTCTGAAGAAAATGACTCGAATTGCTCAACGAGTACACTGACTGTTGTAAACAATACACTTGGAGAAAGACCCGGAGGCCCTGTCCTATTTAGGAGGTATTTATATTGACCCAGACATTTATTTATTTAAAAGCATTTCTCTACTCTCTATATATCTTATTAATTTATTTTTATCTTTATCTGGTAATATTTTTAGTAGTAACGCAAATACTATACCACGAAGCGCGACTTTTCATCAAGCGGTCGACGAGACAGGTCCAGCAATCAGCAGTCAATTGCAGAGAAGCGAAACTATGCCTCACTCGGTTGCTCAGCAGGGTGAGCAAGAAAGAGAACGGGATCGATTGGAGATCAGTAGTCTTTGGTCTAATAAGGACAGCGTAACGTCTAGTTTATCAAGTTTGGGGTCAAGTCTCAAACTAAGCTTTGGGTGAGCTTTATCTTTAATCTCTTATTCATTTGTTTTCATCAGCTGGCACAACATTTTCATTTAACCGAAGTATCACGTAGTTTGCTTTTTTTTTTATTTTTTTTTGTTTGAGTTTTTTTGTTACTTTTTTTTTGTTGCACGTTATTAATACAGCCGATACTCAACCGGAGGCCTGACATTTGTTAAAAATAAAGATTTAATGACATCAAACGTATTCATTGAATCACTCAGTCTCTCCAATTACATCAGGTATGTATCTAGATTTTATTATTATCAATGGGATTATTTTTTGGTTTGAGGTTTTCGCTTTGTAGTAAATTTATCAAATTTGCTGTTCAATTAATAAAAATTGATTGAATAGTGTTGACGATAAAAATAATAATGATGATGGATTACTTTTCAGTCCATCAAGTTTGACGAGTAAAAAATCAAACGAGATAATCCTCGGTGGATTGAACAGTTTAAAGTCAGCAGCAACTTCTGTAGCTAAAAAATTTGACGAAATAAAAGAAGCTATTTCGGCAACTAGTACACCAGTTAAGCTGAAAGAACGTGATCAGCGGCTTGGCTACGGCGTGTCGCACGAGTCGTTAGACTCATTGACAGATGGATCTCAGCAAGATCGTAATGAAATGTCAGCGAGAATGTCAGGTTTGTAATTTATTTGTTAAATTTATTGGTCCACTTTTAAATTTAAATTATAAACCCCCATCAATTTAAATTACTTATTGACTTTTTGATTTAATATACTCTTTTTTTTTTTGTCTTTTTCAAGCAACCTTTTATTACAACTTTTCTTATTTTATCCTCTCTAGGCGATTCTGGTATGGAAGTACTGGGATCACTGTGCGAGCTTGCTGAATGCATGTATCCGAAAGGCTCCAGGGAGTTTGAAGACCGTTTAGCCGTCGAACTTGTTATCTCCAGTGCTAGTCGCTGTCATCATTGCCTGGCTATATTATACGACGAGGAAATAATGGCTGGTTGGCAGCCAGAAGATTCTAATTTAAATACTGTCTGTCAATTTTGCGACAAAGCTACTGTACCGCTTCTTACAGTGACTATTCTTGATTATCGGTATGTTTATTTTTTTTCTTAATAATGAAAACATTTATTCATTTATTATTTTAATTATTGGGTGGGTTGTTGTTTGTTTATTCAGATGTAACGAAAGTGAAAAAATAAATGATCCATTAACTGGAGCACTAATTGAACTGATGGATCAACCACGTGAATTACCAGAGCCTATTACCGTGCCCTATTTAAATCCACTGGTACTACGTAAAGAATTAGAAAATGTATTGAGTCAAGAGGGTGATACATGTCTTACTAAGCACCGATTTATTCAAGAACATCCAATCGTGTATTGGAATTTAATCTGGTACTTTGAAAGGATAAATCTAAACAGCCATTTACCAGAACTCTGGTTCAATAACGACAACATTAAAGATCTAGCCACTAATTCGAGCTTAGTTGGCGTCCGAACCATGTGGGACAATGAAAAACTTCATATGAATCGTCTACCCATGTATCTGCAATGGAAGCAGAATTTACCAGAAGAACGATCGTATGAAATATATTTGTTTTCTTTCTTTTATTTATTTTTTTTTTTATTACTTATTCGACTGTCGAAAGTCAATAAAAAAAATTTTTAATGGATTTTCAGGCTAATGCAGAACGTAATAACAAACGTCCGTCATAATAACTTGACAGAACCAATTAAAAGAGTGGCCTTAGAGAGAAGTAAAGCTGAAGTTAAAGAACAACCACCGTTTTCTATTTATAGAGATATATTGTTTTTGGCTTTTACCGCATTAGGAAGAACAAATATTGATCAAGGTGATAAATATTAATTATTATAATAGCGATAATAGATAATATAAAATGTATTAAATGTATGTGTATTTATTTATTTATTTTTTTTTTTTTTTAGGAGTTTTTGATCGACAGTATACAGCTGCCTTGGAAAATTTGACAGATAATGAAGAGAAATTATTACATAGCACTGATGCGGCGCCGTCACCAATGACATTGTACTGTAGACATTATTTTAAACAGTTGAGTGTATAATAAAATTAGCGAGCGTGAGAAAATAACGTTAGAACGAGAGAGATTAAATAGAGAGAACGTAAGAGAGCAATGAATGTATTTTTATTTTTAAACAAAATGTGTCGAAGTAAGTGACGATAAAACGACGGATGTTATTATATATTTATGGTGTAAGTGTTTTATTTTATTATTTCATTATATTTTTCTTTTTCAACATCAATATTGAATACTATTTTATTTTATTATTTTATGACGTGACGAATAATCACCTGTAGACTATTTATTTTAATATTAACAATTAAGTGTCAGCTTACGTGCAATAGAAACAAAATTTTTATCAATTGTACGATATATACATGTATTATATATATATATATATATATTTTTTTTTTCGATTAATGTTGGTTGATATTGTCTCGACCTCGTCTGTTTTTTCCCCATTCTCTGTATTTAAATTTAAATTTAAATTTATTTTGTTATTTTTTTTTTTACATTCACCGCTCGTTGTACGTTAAAGTGTTGTTTAAAAACTAAAATATGGGGAACAGGGTAATAGAATTGATTTAAAATTTAAAACAGTAAGAATGGTGCTATCATTTTTAGCATCAACATTTAAACACCAATGTCATTGAGTTGTTACTCAACTAAAACCCCGTATTATTATTTGTTTTGCTTAATTAATAATAATAACTATTAAAAATTAAATGCTAACAAAATAATTATATTAAAAATTGCAAAGTATCAAAAAAGTGATCAACGTGTAAATATTCGTTTTATTATTTTTTTAAATTACATTTCATATAAATATATTATCATTATTATTTAATACAGCATTATTGTGTTTTAACATATGAGTTTTGATTTAACACACAATAATTCAATATTGTACTATAAAACAACTATTTTATTATAATTATCACGTAACATATTATGTATTAAGTAATTTCTTATCTATATGTATAAATTTTTACGTGAGCTATGGAATTTAAAACAACACTATGAACACTATTATTATTTACAGTGATTATTTTAATTAATTTTGTCAAGACTACAGCAACTATTATTATTATTATAATATTGTATTGTATAGATGTGTAAAAAGAATTAAAAGTTACCACATTGACAATTTAATCGCTAAACTCATCGGTCTCGCGGGACACTACAATCGTACATGCACTTATTATTGTGTCAAGGCTATACAGAGTATGGGATAATAAAAATGCAGTTGCGGTATATTTTATATAAAAATCTTAAATTTGTTGCTTGTTTAAATTTTATTTTCTTAATTAATTTACCCATGTAGTATAGTCTAGTATTCCTTCAACAATAACAACAGCAAAAAGAAAAAAAAACAATTTGTCAATTAATTTTATTACTATTGCTATTTTTGTAAAACACCCAAAGTAATTATTTTCGACTCATTAATTTAATAGTCAAGTTAATATTTATTTTGAGTAGTATAAATTACTATAAAGGTAATAAAATTATAATTGACAAACGTTTTAAAAACATTCCTTCAAGTTAATCTCTCAAAGACGCTAATTACTTAGTTTTTATTTAGCTTCTAATTCTTATTCTAATACAAGATATCTTTAATCGTCGCCTACACCTACTATATTTATTTATACTTATATATATATATTTATAAATGTGTATATTTATTTTTACATACATATATACATACATGTAAGTGTATATTGAATGTATACATAGTACCCGGGTCATTTAAATGAGTAATTGACGTCACAGATAATTATCTCAACATGAAATGTGTCGGAAAAGAAAAATGAAAAGCTTGATGCTTATGCTTTCTCGGTCGACGCTGCTATTACATAATAACTATGTATATATTTTAATATATATGTATATACGCCCGTGGATTAGCTCAAGCTGTCGTGCGTGAAATCCGGGTCGAGGTGGGATTTCGTCGATATGAAGATTCGTAAACTTACGTTTATGTGTAGAAATAGAAATTTTGTCATTCGCCAGCAAACTTTTATTTTTAATAATTAAAAAAAAATGTTAATTATTATTATTATTAAAAAAAAAAATTATACAATCATTTTTTTACATAATAATTTTTCTAATTTATAAAAATAATTTTATTTTTTAAAAAAATTCAAATTCAAATTTTCCCGCCACGCAGTTAAAAATTCTCCCGCGGCGCATCGATGAAATAATTGCGCGCGCATTTTTTTTTCGACCAATGAGCGTCGTTGTGGGAGCTGAGCTGAGACGCTATCTCTCTCGGACGTTTATCTTTATCTCAGTGACGTCTTCAGAGCAAGTTAGTGGTTTAGTTGTGTCAGTATCTATTCTCGATGAGGAGAGAGCGCACCAGGCAAGAGGGTGAGTGCGGACCGGGTTGTTCGTGGCGGTGATTGTATTAACACACTTTGGGGCTGGTTAAAACAACAACTGAACACCGTCGTCCCGCGTGTTGTGTTTTACGCGCACCATTAAATACTAACCGTTATCATTTTTTGTTTAGTTTCGTTACGAGGATTTTAATCATAGTAATAGATAATAATAATAACCACAATAATTATAACAGTAAATAGTAATAGTAATAACAACAACAACAACAACAATAATAATAATAATAATAATAATAATAATAGTAATCATCATCAAGATCATATATTTAATATTGCGCTGACAGTGACGGTAGTGGCTGTTGGAAATTGGCTCGAGTTTAAAGTCAAAAATTGTTTCGCTCCAATTTTTTAATTACTTTCATATTTGATATAGAAGTTATTTATTTATTAAATTTAATAAAATTAAAGAGACGAGTTTGATTAAGTCACCGAATAACACGGGGTGTGTGCTTGTGTGTTTGAGTGTGTGTGTGTGCTCTACGAATTTGCTAAAAGTCTATAATATATAACTGCCGGTGATTTGGCAGTGTGAAACATCGAATTGTGGTATTTGTCAGTATTAGAGTAGCCAAGTTCTGAAATTTATTATTATTATTATTATTATTATTATTATTATTATTATTATTATTATTGTTATTTTTATTATTATTATTTAACTTTGGTGAAATATTATTATTTATTATAAATAATGTTGATTAGAGTTTTAAAATAAAATCTTTGGTGAACTTTCAGGGTGACGGCATTAACAAAAAAGTGCCAATTAACGGTGTCTTGGTGAATGTAATTATAATTTATAAAAATACCTCAGGAAAAGTGGGCGAGGGCGTGCGTGACCGGGTTTAGATCGTTACAGGGGTGGAAAAAAAAATGAAAGAATAAGTAATTTTTTTAACATAATTATAACATATTCTTTATACATAAAAACTAAACTCTGAAGATCGTGATTGTCGATGGTACAAAATTTAATGGACTGTAAAAATCTCAAATAGCTAATTGGTTAAACCGGTCCGTTTTAAACTCTGTAAGATCTGTATGGTATATAGATCTCTAGGTATACGTTAAAATATTTAAATATATCAGAGCTCTAAACTCAGGTCATGTACGTGTCCGTGTGTTGGACTTGGAGTGTGTAGTTTGATATATTTTTATTTTATAATTTGACACGCCTGAAAACGGCGCAAGGAACGCCAACGGCGACGACAACGGCAGCTAACCAAAGTGCGACCGATTTAACATCATCGCAGCTAACATCGGCGCCTGGACAACCTATCGTAAGTTAATGTCATTGATATATTACATTGTTGGTAAAATTTCATGGTAATTTTTTTTTAATTATTTAAAAAATAATGATGACAGAAAGTTGGCAGCTAACATCGTATTTTAATAAAAATTTGATAGAGAACTATATAAAACTGTTAGTTCACTAGCAGAATGTCATATGGGGTTTTTATTTTGACTAGTCTAGAAGGACCCATGCCCATGGAGATGGAGTTGGAGTATGAGGATGAGAGAGTATGTTAAATTAAACTATAATGATATCGTTTTACGGTTATGTATATATCGAGGATATTCGCATGCGCAAATCCCCACTGACTCCACCTACTCCGTCGACCTACACTCAACACACGTCTCGTCTCGTCTATGCTTATGCTACTGACTACTGTACTACCTACTACAGACTACAGGCTACAAGCCAGTGAATACTTTTTTAAATTCTCTAGCTGCTGGTGATGACTAGGACGATGATAATGGTAGTAGTGGTAGTACATCAGATTCTGCTCCCAGAGACTACAAAAGTGCCGGTAGTGATGCCTAGTTGCTGTTACTACTGCACGCCTAAACTCTGCCTGCCTTACCCCGGCCTCACTTCTGGCTACCAGGCTATAGCGGCAACCCGGCTAGTAGCTAGTTCCCGTTTTGCTCTCTGCTTATCCCGATCAATACACTACCACCACGCTAAGTCATGTGTATGTCCTTTGCTTTTACAATCAAACAGCATACTTTATTCTCTACATTACTCAAATGTATTCAACAATCCATACTCTCTGTTCTTGGTTCATCGTTCATGGTGGTGATCGACCTCGAAACCTAAAAGTTTTTGGAGGTTGCTTTTTTTAAATTCAAATTTTTTTAGTGATCTTAAAAATATCTATTAGTATGATCTTAATAATTTTTATTCTAGTATTTTGAATTTGGATGATTACAAAATTAATCTAGAGCTAGTTAAATTTGCAAATTTTTATTTTCAATATTTATTTTTTTAATTACATAAAAATTCAAAATTAAAACAAACTTCTTTTAAAAAAATCATTCCGAAAAAGATAGAGTTACAAATTAATTAAAAACTCCAGGTTTCAAATCTGTTCAATTTTTTTTTTTTTAATTATTAAAAAATTTTAACAAGCTCCGAAGAAAGTTAATTTACTTTAATTGATGAGTTATTTGTTTCATTCATAACATTTTTTCATCTTAAATTATTAACTTCAAAATCATTAATTAAAAAAATTGTACACTGAAAAAAAAAATTGACTTGATTCAAGAGAACAATTCTTGTACCAAGAACATAATTTTGAAAAAAGTAATTGTCTTGAATCAAGACGAAAAATTCTTGAATCAAGTAAAATTTACTTAAATCAAGAATTT